ATAATGACAATAATAATCCTTAAAAATATCTTAAATTTGGGGCACCTGGGTGGCTCAGTCCGTTAAGTGTCCAACTTCTGCTCAGATCATGATCTCGTGGTTCATGGATTCGAGCCCTGCATTGGGCTCTGTGCTGACAGCTCAGAGCCTGGAGCCTGCTTCAGATTCTGTGTCTCCCTCTGTCTCTCTCTGCCCTTCTACTGCTCACACTCTATCTGTCTCTGTCTCTCTCTCAAAGATAACATTAACAAAAATAAAAAGAAATCATCAAATAAAAATCCGTTTTTGCCTTATACATTCTGGACCAAGAGCAGGTGAAGCTAACACACATAAAAATAAAAGTTACACTTTTTAAAAATGTCAAACACTTAAAACCCATGTGTTGCTTGAAAGGATCACTTAATCATCTGATGAGCTACTTTACCTTACCTAAAGCAGAGGTCTAAGGGCAGTATTGCAGGCACACAACACAGGACTATGCAGAAAAGAGTTAGGAAAACCACAGACATTCAAATAAGGAGCTAACAGAGAAAAAAACGAGGGAAGAAAGCAGGTCCACAAGCCACCATGAAACATGGCTCATCTTTCCTGTCTTCTCGCCTATCTCCACTTCTACCTGCACGCATCACTAGACTTTAGGTTGAGAGCTTCAGTAGGAGGACCAGATAAATTTAAAAAGCAGCAAATGTAAATGGAGTCATGGAAAGTTTAGGATACAGAGCTGAGGCCCAGGATGCTGTTTGCCTGGAGGCATTATTCATTCTGAGAAGGACAAGAGCCCTGATGGGGGAAACTGAAAAGGCCTATTTAAGTCTCACTCTAGGTTCAAGGATAGATGGGGAAAGCTTTTGGGTTTCTTTCCATGTAGCCTAGTCTTGTGGAGTAATTTAGGAGAAGAGGTACAGATTCTGTCAGACAAATACATGAGAATAGAGAAACACATGAGAGAAGTACAAACACTAAACTTAAAAAAGGAGTATGTATATATTAGTATCCCGTTTTTATTCCTAAGTAAGTGCCAAAATACTGCCACAAATAGTAATAGTACAGTGTATGAAATGACTAATTTTCACTTTATCTGATTTGCTATGGCCATGAAATATATTAACGTGAACATGTGTGTCCACTGGCAGATTTGTGGTTCTATCATGACAAGCCCAATGTTGACAGCTTATTTGAAGATTTCTTTTGGTTATTTCTTTCAGAACTTTAGGCCATCGTGTGGAAAACTTCCCCCCAAGTCTTCATATATAAATATAAAAAAATTAAGCATTATGTGGAAAATAAATGTAATGTATGGAATATGTATCCTCTGTAAATAAGCATGACTAAATTTACAGAAACCATGTATCTAATGTCCTGTCACAATTTAAAGTTAATGCTCTGCACCCCGCGCCTCTCCTGGATTAAGGCAAATATTATCTATGATAACACTTCTTGTTGTTTTTGTAGGTAAAACTTAGGTCTTGAAGGACACACAAAGACCTTCTATATTTAGAAAACAGAAAGGTAAAATAAACTTTTAATGATAAAATTGTATCTATCCAACTGAAAGTTAAGAGGAAAAAAAATATTCTTGTGATTCCAATAAAACTTCTACTCTTCAGTATCTTTTTCAACTATTAAGATCCATTTAGCTCAAAAAATATTTCAGTGACGTGCAGTTTTCAGTTACTGAACTAATGTGAGTACAACATTCATAGTATTCCTCTTTGGCAAGTTACTTACCTTCTTGTTACCAATTCTGATATGTGTTAAAAGTAAATAATTTGCGATCACTGATTTCCACGGTCAGACTTAAGAGTCACCTAGCTCTGACTTGAATGGAAATGATGATGTAGAAGAGAAAATGGCCTGAGAGAATGACAGCCTCTCTTGAAGGGCAGGTGAAGGTTCACTGACCCCTGGGCACTCTACTCCATTCTGGTGAATCACTGCTTTGGGGAAACAAAAGACCCTGTGGCTCATAAAACCTGATGATATTAAGAAGAGGGAAGGATTTTATACTTAGAATTCAGGGTCACTGCTAGAAACACAACTTTAAAAATTCAAGGGTAAGGAAAAATACCATATTTAAAAATGAATTACTTGTGTTTTTTCCTTTAAAAAGTATCTGGTAAACCCATATCATACAGACGTTCATTACTTATTCAATGTACACCATTGAGAGATAAATAGAACTGTTAGAATACAAAAATGCCAAGGGTAATTCAACTACTGCAGTGTAAGTGTGGCATAACTGATTCGTCATGACATACAATTTTCTAAAAGCTATTCTGTTAGAAGGCAATAAATGAGTGCATAAATGATTTACATTCTTCTGAGCCATGGTTATTATTCAGTATTTTATTCTAAAAAATATATACACCCTATACTATTATGTTTATTCTCTAGAGTATAATAAAAACATAATTGAATTTGATGAAAAATAGACTTTATTCTAAATGTAGCATACAGCACATATAGCTACTCCCTTATTTTATCCCTTGTGAAGATCAATGGTCACTTGAGGTGGTTCTGTTCTAGGTTTGTTTTAATATATGGGCAATAAAATATTTTTAATTTAAAAATTATATCCTTATATTCCATGTCATATTTCCTTTTTAATAACATGAGTTTTGACCTAAATAACAACTTATGAATGCAAAATACAATATTTTAATCACTGTTTTACTTCTGAACATGATTTCTTATTGACCAGGTAGGGCAGGAAATTAACTACAGATGGTATAGCAAATAAAAATGAAGCATTCTATAACAAAAGCATCAGAGTTCAGTGATTTGTTTTATTTTGAAAAAGCCTAAATGCTATTATGAAAAAAGGTTACCTTTTAAAAATTATTTAAAATTTGTTTCAATATAACCATCTCTGGAATTTAGATAAATTACTTACAAATATATTTAAGCTAATACTATTTTCATTTATAAGTTTCTTTGGGTTAAAAACTGTGCCATAAAATATCCAAATATATAATATATAAATTACATAATATGTAATTATACTAAAGTTTAACACAGTTATTTTATATTTATATACAAATTATAATACACACTCTATAGTATGGTTAAATCATACATATATGCTATCTTTAAAAAAACTATACATAAACACATACACATGTGTGTATGCATATATATATATATATATATATATACACACATATAGATGTATGTATATATGTGTGTATATATATATATATATAGTAAGGGCAATGCAAATTAAAAATAAAAGGCTTAATTCTCTCTGTTGAAAATAAGGGAATGGATTTCCCTCTCTTCCTTTTACTTATTTATCTTTGAAATTTATAATTTTAAGTATTTTTTCATCTCTTTGAAATATGTCCCTTAGAAGACTAGATTAGATCTTTTGTCAGCTTTCTCAACCAGGACTATCTCAAGAACCTGGAAGCCATCTTTTCCAAATGCAAACACCAAGCGCAGTGGCTCCTGGCTCTAGTTCCTGATGAAGGGCAAGGACTAATTTCAGTGGTTGCTTTGTTCCAATCTGCAAAATCACTCTGTCCTAAAGATATAAGAAGTGTGTTTGTCTTCAGGATAAAGACAATTAGCTAACGAAGGTATCCTCTAACACAGGTAAAATTAGGATGAACTATGCGTGAAAAAATATGCTGCCATGCCAAATCCTCTACGTGAGGACTAGCTACTGTTTATCTTGAAAACATGTTTGTTACGGATTGCATCTACCAGGTTATATGAAGGGGTGTGATGCCCAGCTCTGACTTGCCAATCTCTTAGCAGACAGCCTGTGATATGCAACGCATTCTGGTTTAACGCCTGTTGAATAACAGAGTGTTTTTATTCTCTTCTGCCTTTGTAGAGGGAATGTCTGGGATGGGAGATTTTGGTTTTAATTATAATTCCCCCAAAATATGCTTTCTTCTGAATTTAAGTTATTTATGCCCTTTGTTATGACAAAAAATAGACTGCATTCTTATATAAAACATGAAAAAAAATCATAGATAGGAACATTTCACTTGCTTGGTTCGGTTTCTTGGACAATTCAATATTAACTATACCTTAAATTTTAAAAAAGGAAATACTATGTCTCATTCTATATTAGAAATTTGTACTGTGGTTTGCATATTTATAACCTACCTGAGGTGAATTATTAGAACCTTTGACCAAAAGGATCCAAATAGGTGAACTGATTCTAGGACCCAAAACACATATAAAGACAAAGTCTCTTCCATCTAATGGCAAACTGCTTAACTGTCCCATTACTCCTAATGTTTGGTAGCACTAACTTTTGGAGTAGGTGATAAAGATTAATCTTGCAGAGCAACTCTCTATGGAGTCTCTGGCCTTCCACGTGGGAAGGTGACTTATAATGACAAATGTTACATAAAAATAATACATTTTTTTTTGGTCTCTTTCAACAACTCAAGCAATGCATGGCCTTATACTACCATTTTAATACTGTAATTTGAAATTTTTAATTTCTGTGCTTATCTATCAAGTGAAGCTGCTTAACTCTAAACATATTAATGAAAATCCAGGTCATCAATATTGGCAAACTCTAAGAAAACATTAGTAGAAATTCAATAAACTTTAATTTACTATTTGAAGGCAGTGCCTAAATTTTTGAGTCACATTTGCTTAAAAAAGTTTTTTAAAATTTATTTTTGAGAGAATGTTGCACGTGTGGGGAAAGGCAGAGACAGGGAAGCAGAGGTTAGTAGCGGGCTCCACATTGATAGCACAGAGCCTGATGTGGGACTCGAACCTCATGAACCACGAGATCATGACCTGAGCCAAAGACGGACGGACGCTTAAAGGACTGAGCCACCCAGGAACCCCTTGAGTCTTAAAGTACTAATAATGTTAGATTCTAGGGAAGAGGGTTTAATCAATTTTTTTCAGGAAAATTAATAATATGAAAACCTAAAATGATCTAAGAGTAGAAAACTTTAGTAGACCAGGTAAAGTTTGTGTAAATGAAACATGAAACCAACTAGTTTTAAATAATTAACAATATTTACCTTGTAGCATTTTGTTCTATCTTTTCATCAATGTCACTGAAGATCTGCTTAAACTCCAAGTCTCCAGGAAGTGAATTTAACAAACAATGTAGGTCAAAAGAAGTATGGGAATATTTATCTCCCCAATCCATTCTGTGGAATAAGAATAAAAAGCATGTCACATCCTCAAAAATAAAGAAAAAAAAAAAAAAAAAAAAAAAAAAAACACCTCAAGTTGTGATCCTAAACCAAAAATAATAATTCTCATTTATAGGTAAAATGAAATACAGCAGTAAGAAAACTAGGGTATTGTTAAACTAGGTATAGAGTGCTTTGTTATTTAATTTGCATGAGGTGTGACCTGATTTTCACACTTCTCTATGGTGTGAAAGCTGAACAAAACCGCACCCCTCAGAGAGTACTCAAGCATCCTGCTGCTTCTCACTGTAACCAAGAGCTGCAAAGGCGATCCCAAACCACATAGACCACTGTGAACAAGGGTGGCGGCAACAAGAATTCAACACCTTCCCTCCATCCTTGTCAACACACTGACCTGGAAATTGTAACTTCCAAATTTCAAAGTGTCATCCCATACTCCTTATTTATATGTAAAGAAGGCAGAATTTTCCTTGAATTCCTCTATCACCTCTGTCAACCTAAGTACTTATAACTGACTAAAACTTACATATTCTACTCTTCCTAGAGAGACATGCATTTTCCCACTATCAAATCATTCATTCAGTCAGTGCATATATATTCTTGAATGTTTGATATGTAAAAGGCACTGCTGTGGAAGCTGGGGATACAATTGCAACAAGTCAAAGTCTCTGCCCTCATGGAGTTTTTATCTCATTTAAGAACACATAAGCAGGTATACTTTATAAAAGATCACATGGTGAGAAGTGCTGTGAATACAAGAAAGCGGGGCAATGGAACAGACTAAAAATGATGGAGATGGGGTAGAATGTGATCTATTTTATTTAGGGATATGTTATTTTTGGATATAAAGTAGTGCTTATAAAGTACATAATGACTAACGGTATAAATGAAATGAGAAATTTAAATTATAAGAAATATACACGGAATAAATATTAACAAGAAAAAGGATTGGGGAATGTGGTTTTATTTCAGATAAACCCAAAATACTTGACAAATTGTCTAAAAAGTTTTGCAGAGGCTACAACACTAATGGACTTCCTCATCTTTAGTTATTTAATTGCAACAAATTCAGCTAATTCATTATCCAAAACAAAATAGCTGAATTTCACACAGGCATCATCTGGAACTTCAATGAGGTAGTCTTGGGATAAAGCTTTTATTTTTTGCACAGATTTTATTTTAAAAGGGAAACATCCAACTAAAACATTTTAATATAAAAGTCGGTGGCTTCACAAGGTTTGTCATTTGTAAACTCAATTAGTCCCAATACAGAATAATCACAGAAATGTCATTCTAAAATACATAAATTCTCATGTATTTAGATCCTCTTTTTAAAATATTTTGCAGTAAAAGGTATAGAACACCATATATTCACCAGAAATTATATATCTTTAGGGTACCAAAACCTCAGTTTTTCCATATAAACAGAGTCTGAGATCTTCTTACCTCCCTAGTCATTTCTAAATCCAATGGCCAATATTACTAATAATGAATTCAGCTTCTGTATTTGCATGTTTTTGGATCATTTTGGGTAGTTCAACTCTTCAGATGATGACTCATTCAAAAACTGTTGCAAGAAAATAAAATTTCGCTTTTGCAGTGAAAAAATTTGATCGGCTGAGGGTCTGTAGAAAGCTCAAACTTAGTAAACACTTTGGAACTAGCTTCTCTAACAGAACCAGTTATATATCAATACTCTGCTAAGACTTGTCTTATCAATACTAGAAAGTCTCATAAGCTCAGATTCTACATATTTAAAACATAAGAAAATAGGCATAGAGATCAGTTTAAATATAACAGCAAAATAGCAATACGACTTGTTATATATCTACTGTATACAAACATATACGTCATCTTCCTTAATTCTCATATTTCTACAAAATAGTTATTACCCTCATTTATAAGGGAAGGAACCTGGGTCCAGAGACATTAACTAACATGCCCATGTAGCAGCTACTTACTGTTAGAAGTAGAATTTGAACTGGATCTATTTGGTTCTAAATTTTAAGACTGCCTCATCTCTTGAGAAATGAATCACTTACTGCATACAGAGTAGTTTTGCAGAAATATTTTTTTTAAACATTTTTATTTATTTTTGAGACAGAGAGAGACAGAGCATGAACGGGGTAGTGTCAGAGAGAGAGGGAGGCACAGAATCTGAAACAAGCTCCAGGCTCTGAGCTGTCAGCACAGATCCCGACTCTGGGATCGAACTCAAGGACCACGAGATCACAACCTGAGCTGAAGTCGGACGCTCAACCAACTGAGCCACTCCGCCGCCCCAGAAATATTTTTTTAAAGATTATATATTTTTGAGAGAGACTGTGTGTGCACACACATGCATGAGCAGAAGGGAAGAGAGAGGGAGAGAGAGAATCCGGAGCAGGCTCGGCATTGTTAGCACACAGCCGGATGCGGACATCAGTCTCACAAACCCTGAGATCATGACCTGAGCTGGAACAAAGAGTGGGATGTTTAACCAGCTGAGCCGCCCAGGCGCCCCATAGTTTTGTGGAAATATTAACCAATATGCTAAAATGGTTATCCCTGGCTGCTTCAGGTTTGAAGGTCGGGTTGTTGCCCGACTTCTCGCTGGGTGATGATCTCGTCATACTTTACTATGTCTGCCAGGTTTCAAAGCCTTCAGAGCCTGAGCATACAAAAAGCCGGATTCTGTGTCTCCCTCTCTCTCTGACCCTCCCGCTCACATGCCTCTGCCCTCTGTCTCAAAAACAAATAAACATTAAAAAAAATTTTTTAAATAAAAAATAAATAAAAAAAATAAAATGGCTATCCCTGGATATTTTGACTACTGTTGATATTTATTTTCTTTATACTTAGCATTTTCCTATATTTTTGCAGTGAGTACTTTTAAACACGTTAAAAAGCAAAATTCAACCAAGTGAATGTGAAGATCTAATTGGCTTTGCTAAACTATTCATGAGTCAGGCAGCACTTTAGCAAAAAGAGAGGCACTCCCGGGAGGTGTGAAAAATGAAGGGTTTTTATAGAGGAGGGTGGGGACATAAGAATTATTAACAAAAGCAGTGTGTTGTTCCAGACAAGGCTGTTTTCTAGGGGAAAAAGTATGAGGTCTTATCATGCAGAATACCTCATCTTTCTCTAGAGGATAGAGAGGACTCAAGTGGCAGACTTATTGGCATTGATGGAAAGGAAAATTTCCTGAATAACTAGGTAAGGCCATATTTCTGGTGGAAGGTGAAAATGCAATTAGATTGGATATTAAGCTCCAGTTTGGGAACTTGGTCTGAGCGACACCTTTTTGGGCCTGTGTTTTTCCTTTTTGTTAAAACATATCTAATGAAGACAAATACTTTAAAAAGAAATTATGCCTGCTCTCATGGAGCTTTTGATCTTACATTTTGTCTTCATTTGAAACCTCTTCGAACCTTAACACCTCTCTTGCCAATTTGAATTCATCATTACTCTCAAAATCAAATTCAAAACTTACATAATCCTAAATATCTCTTGACTACCATTTCACTAAACTTTTTGTATTATTTTGTGGTATTTGTGCTTGCAAATGCTGTTAAAGGAAAATGTGCTGTTCTGTGCTATGTTGGTATTAAATGTATGTTATGTCTTTCATTGAAATGGAGTAAAACAATAATGGGCTGAAACAAGTTGAGCATTCAGATGGGGTTGGTGACATCATTTTAAAGGATTCCCGATACAGAGTTGTGTGATTTTTCTCTATCTAACCTCAGTAGATAAGTTAATCAATAAATACAAATAATACATTAAAGAAGTGCCACTTGGTAACAACAGGGTACCAGAATGATGATGGTTCAGAATTTTCATGTGACCACCATAGATCTATGATGCTTCTGTATTTAAGATATGGTTCCATGGTCATGAAAGACAAGAGAAGCAAGAATGACATTTATAGGTAAAGAGAGAGCAAGGATAAGAGAGAAAACTTGATTGGCAAAACAGAACAAATAGGATGAGAAAATTAACCTGAACAAATAGAGATGCACAGGACCAACAGAAGAAATAAATTAAAAAGGGAGAGTAGCCTGTGTAAGTGATGCTACAAAGTGTGAATTTAAAGGTTTTCTCAATGGAATGGCAGTGATCCCTGCAGGAATGTGGTGACAAAAAAGGACTGAATGGGCATGAGCACAGACACCAGACCTCCCATGTCCTTTCAAGCACTCTGCGGGTCCACCGTGTGACACTGTGCCGGGGCATCATGAGGGTATCATGAAAGGGAGAATGACAGTCTCTCCTCTAAAGGAGCAGAGACAGTAAAAACATAAGACAATAAACAAGGGAGCCAGTAGAAAGAGCACTCTATTCTCTAAGTAAGACATAACTAAGTAGGACCTCAACAACAAAAAAGTGAATTATTAAGGGACTAATGTAACTTGACAAATACCTCAGTGGTATTTCAGAAACATAGACCAACCCTTAAAAAATTTAGGGGGAGGGGCGCCTGGGTGGCTCAGCTGGGTGAGCATCCAACTCTTGATTTTGGCTCAGGTCATCATCTCCCAGTTTGTGAGTTTGAGTCCCACATTGGGCTCTGTGCTGACAGTGCAGAACCTCCTTGGGATTCTCTTTCTCTCCCTTTCTCTCTCTCTACCCTGAGCCCACTCACTTGTGCTCTCTCTCTGTCTCTCAAAATAAATTTTAAAAAATTTAAAAAATTATAGGTGGAAAAAAGAAGAGACTGTGAAGCTGTGTAGCTTAACCTAATCCAAGATCAATCAAAAATGGGAGCTGAAACTTTTTAAAGTATGCTTTCTTTTTGAAATTGTCATTCCACAGTACTATTTTTAAATATTCATTTTCCTGTAATGTTTCTGATCATTTTTGGCATAAGATTAAAAAACCAGTGCTTAATATTTCAAACAAGTATTAACAGCCAATCTAATATTAATTATTGCCTTTTAAAAATGAGTAATGTTTGAAGAATTATATCTGAGCCAAACATCTGTAGATCAAGTTTCAGCCATAGGCAAATTAT